CTACGTAATAATTGTAGAAACATTAATAGTAGAACTATGCGTCATGATTTTGGCCCTGAACTTCAATTAGAAAAGTAAACGGGACTTAATTATTCACTGCATAACGTGTATTTTCATTATTCAACAATCATCCAGCCAAATTCCATTGGAATGAGAAAGAGAATCATGCATGAATAAGAGATGAATGCCAGAAGTAAAATTCATGAATGTGTCTCATCAATAAATAAGTAGCGGGGCATCTTGGCAGATGGTAAGAATAATCGGACACAAATGCGTGTGCGATCTAAATACAGTAATTATTATAAGGGGGGAAATGAACTCCCAGACTGATGTATATTTAATAAAATCCCGATCAGAAAACAGATCATGGGGATTACCATGACAATACTGAGCATCAAAAAGAACATTGATATTAATTTTAACAATGATATTTAATGTAGTATCTACCATTTGGACTGTATAACTCTAAACAACCTATAACAAGTATTGTACCTCAACTTCTGAGTCAATGATCCCCATCTTGATCAGGTTTTTCATTAGTTTCCCTGATCCCTTGAGCAAATGCTGAGACTGCTCCTTGTTTTGCTTTTGGACACACATATACCTTCATTATCTGAGTACGTCTTCTACAGTGGGAAATCGTAAAGGTAGCTTAATGGTTAGAGCAATTGGGCATAAACCAGGAGGCCCGGGTATGAATCGCGGCTGGATCGACCAATTCTTTGAACAAACTTAAGTGTGGGAAATATAGTTATTCAAATTATCGTTCTCCATGTTGTCGTGGCAGAAGTATATTCCTTCACAAAGGACATGATGAAGGATAAGAATTGAAATCTATAGCCGATTTGACTTTGGAAATATATTTTATTACATCAGAACAAATATTTTGTTAACAATTCTTCCCAAAAAGGCTCATTTCTCTCTGTATTCAGAATTCAACTTGTATATAGTTTAGGGTAGGGATCTCTGAATTAAGAAAACATGCACAGAATACACTTATTCCTGTAGCATGTTACTCACAGTTTTTAACCGTTTTTGACGATAAAATAAAATAAACATTTAAAAAATCGATATAATAAAAGTCAAATCACAATAAGCTTATTTGCACATCAAATATGCAAAAACTAGCAAAATTTTTAAAATATTTGGTTATGAAAAATTTTATTTGAATTTAGAATCAAAATTTATACAAAACGGAATAAAGGATTTTTTCTACTCCCATTATATAATTCTCTTATAAGGTGTCTGCAGCTCATTGAATAATAGTTACACTATAGTTTTCATTATAGTTCTGGTGTTTAGCCAATCACAGAAAGTTTACAAATCTAGCATTAAGATGTAATTAATAGTTGGTCATTACTTTAGGAAATGTTTCATTTGATTATGTATATTAGAATTCCATGTAAATATTGAATTACACTTGTTGGTTTTAATTTCTATCATTAGTAATCATTTTTTGGGTGGAACCATTTAAAAAAATTAACTTATACTAACTTGACTGACTTTGATCTCATTGGATTGCTTTGTAGTTGAAGGTTGGAACAACTGATCTCAAGAACTGCGCAAGGCAGTTTGTGTTATATGTTGGTGCCATATGATTGAGCTTTGTATTTGGTGAAAACAAGGCATTTATTTATTAATGAAAAAATATTCCAATTATTTATGGAATGGCAACAGAACAAAATGAGTTCATTTTCAGAAAATGTGTTGCTAGTTTATTGAGAAGAATGAGCAAGGAAATCCTCAACTCTGTTGATTTATTATTCAGTTTTAAAATCTACTTCAAATACTAAAGTCAAGATTGATACATCCAAGTACAGAAAAATAAAAAAATTAGGATGTATGTCTGATGTGTACAAAGCAAAAAATCAAATGCATTTCCATTTAATGAAATAATAAATACCACATGAAATGCATCTTTTAACAGCAAGTGTAGTATAATACATACCATAATATTTACCAAAAAGTATAGGCATAAATGATTTTTTTTATAGTTGTAGGTACCACTTCCATTCAAGGTATAAAAAGGTTCACATTGAAGTCATCAATCACTTGAATTAAAGTGGAACAATGTCCAGGATGCATAATCTACCACTATAGCCACATACCCAATAGAAAAACCAATGTGTCACTACTTTTACAGTAACATGGAAATATGAAATATGCAAAAAATATAAGAATCTATACCTAAAACATTCCAAAATTCCATTTTTTGTTAATTATAGTAATGGCAAAAGCATTGTGCAAAACGGTGATTAATAATTAGGAAGCATGGATAAACAAATAGCTACCTAGATCAATCTGCCCAATCCAACTTCATATTCTGGTCTTTACTTTCACAGAATTTCAGCGACATTATTAGTTGATGCTGGTGGTGAGTTAAGAACTTTGGAAAAAAGACAATGGTAGAAATCTACAAGTGTTTCTGAACATTATGTAGATAATTCAATTCAAAATAAACTAGAGTTTTCAAATTCAATTCAAAATTCCATAGTGAATCAAAATGAAACAGGTACAAACCTATATAATTTATCATCATCCACAAATATTAAGAATGCAACATTCCCACAGATACATTCAAATAGAAATTGTACACAGCAAACAAATATGTAAAGAGAAATAAATGTGATCTACTTCGTTCAACTTGTATTTATTTTTAATTTTTTGAAATGGAAAAGAAAGGGGGGGGGGGGGGGGGGGGGGAAGAAAAGGAAAGAAAGCAAGCAGTTTCCATCGAGTAACTTTTTGTAAATGGAAACTGCAGTCAGTCTGAACCATGGTCACCTGAGACATTTAGGTTCATAACTAGAGCTCAGACTTTTAGGTAAATGCATATTTTCCTCCTTAATCGTGAGTATTGAAAGTTTAGTGGAAATTCAAGTAGCACATGTTACTGTGGGACTTCCCCCACTGAGTAGAGCGAGTCTGGTTCATGACCTGTCAAAACTTGTGAGGGCCATTTCTAACACTTTTGTCGATGTAGGTAATGACACTCCAAGTGAAAACATACTCATAACATGAGCAGCTCCCAAACTTCCTCAGATTGAATGGACAAAATGTGCAGAATGATAAAGAGAATGATGGCAAATTTTACTTGACTTTTACCGATCTTGGTAACTGGTTTTTGAATGAGTATAAACTTTTTCATCATTTTAACATATATTTTTCACTTTATAAGAATATAAAAAATAAATATTTTAGTTTTTCAGCACCTAAAAGTTTGACCTGTCCACTAGGTGGCAATGGCTAAGTACTGCATGCCAGCTGCCATGAAATAATTCAAAGTAACAGTTAAACTTTTCAATTAGTGTGATTAGTTACCCCATTAGTGATAGACTAAATACTGTTTGAAACTATGTAATAGGTATTAATACACTTGTAAGAAATTTACGATGTGGCTTGTTCTTATCGTATCGGTGTTTCATGGTTGTTTCATAATATATTATTATATCAAATAGTATGATAAAAACTAAAAAGTTAAAAATACATTTTTGTAGCATAGTGGAGTAGAAACCAATTGAAAATTTATTTTGTATCAAAACCATAATTCAAATGTTTTACTTCATTTCACTTTTTATTGACTTACCTGCCTAGATGCTTTTCTTAACATGAACAATGCTTGAATAACAATTCAAATTTGCTTTTTGTTTGAAGAAAATTGGTATTAAAAAAATTGTATAATTTAATAAAGAACTCTATGAAATACCGATGGGTTTATCATGCCAAATTCTCCTACTGGGAACTTGCCATTGGTCCACAGTGCACGAGGCATGCACGAAACTGTTCTGAGGTCACTTGCATGTTCTTCATCTGGGGGTCCTGCCTCTCCACTGCCCTTCCCATTACTAGCATCCCCACAATAACTGCCTTCTCAGCTCACTAGCTAAGCCACTTGTGCTTGCATTCACCAGAGGCCAGTTGGGCAGCACTGATAAAAAGCGAGTAAATGGTATAGGTAGGTTACTCTTACTTCCTGAAAATTCCTCTGGTAGGTAAAAAGAGAAGTGGTTTATTTAGGGAAACTAACAAATCTGAAATTAGTATAGGGATGTAGGAGGTTCCAAGGTTGGGAAGGTTTTGGTGGAGATTTCACATGGTTCGGTAGTTTGGTATCAGTTTCTAATACGAGATCTGCAAGTGTATTCCACGTGGTTGCGGCAAGGATGTTAGGAGGAGGTACAACTGTTAGCCAGAGCAAAGTATAGCCTTGATAGGTAGGTGGTGCAGGCACCATAAACCATAAACTGAGTAGTATTTCTTGTCTTCTTTTTAGGTAGGATTTGTCAGCCTCTGCCAGCAACCAGTCTATGTGGCTTGTGTGGTACACACTCCTTGATAGGTAAATGATAAGATATCTTTTTTGAAAAATGAGTGAGAAGGAAGCAGCCGATCCATAATCTATATAGCCAGTCTAGGACTTATATGATGAATACTCTATATACTCATAAGCATCAGATGTGATTGTGATCAGGAGCCCATGAGATGGCATTGAGTGTTTGGAGAAGATATAGTTAATGTGTTGATGTGGGTTCTATGTTATCTCAAATCATTGTTTTTCAAGGAGATAATTTATATTTTCCCCCCACAATTTTGCCCTTTTCCACCCCCTTATGTTACAGAAATAAAAAAAAAATTGGTGGAGACATTGTTAACCAAAGTTCACAAAAAAATGCAATCGGCAATACAAGAAATAATATACTCCAGAAGATTCCTATCAAAAACCTGGTATAAGCTGGCTTAGATACCTTTACTTTTGATAAAGTGAAAGAATAATGAAAAATACATTAAAATATAATGTAGTAAAATTAGCAAAAAAATTACTAATAACACTGAAACTAACAGGGAAAAGAAACCAATATCCTTCAATACTTGCAATACACAAGTAGAAAACCTCAGCTGATAGAAGGAAGTATTAATGAATATATCAAGCAAAGATGATTTCATATTTATGGAAGAACTATATTGAAAAGAATGAATTAATGGTATAATAGATTAACTACCTGCATTCGCAGGAATAATTCCATCACTGCTACTAGACGATGCCTTTCGTTCATGCAATTCAGACTTATTCTCTTTTTCATTTCCATCTGTGAACAAGAACATAAGAAACATATAATTCATTCATATAAAAGCATCAGGAACAAAATAATTCACACTACTTCCCAATATTGAAAGTTTTCTCACCTAGAGGTACAGGTGTTTTGTGTTTAGGAGATGAATCCTCTTCCTCTTCAGTATTAGACTCGGCTGGGGAAGAGGAAGTAGTAGTATTTCCAGATGATGGTAGAGCATCCAGGCGTGGAGCTTGTAGTCGTTGTTTACGTGCTGGATTCCAATGAAAACAGTAACAGCACCTAAAGGCTAAAAGAAAATGCATCTTATTTAAATCATTTAATTAATTATTTATCTAAACACTCAATAATTTATTCATTTATTTATTTTTTGTAGTAATAACAGACAACAGGCAGCAAACCCAAAAGAATTAGAATATAACATACTAGTAAAAACACATTTATTTAAAACTTGTATTATCCAAATTATGAATTTGGAAAACTCAGCTCTATCTCTTAATATTATGAATGAAAAATATCTACAATTTGGATATTTTTGTACAATGTGCCCAATGATGATAAAATGGTGCCTTATTTTGGAAGACATTGTTGTAAAATTTTCGTAAGAGGGAAGCCAGTATGATTTGGCTTCAAATTATGGTGCTTGTGCAGTCCATGTGGTTTCTTGTTCAAATTTATTCCTTATGATGGAAAGAAGGCAGGCAGAGAAAAATTCGAAATTAATTTCAGCAAGGTCTGAAAGTAACTTTGGGCAAGAAGCAAAAAAATATTATTTCAATGCTTGGTCCTAAATGAGTTAAAGAGTTCACCACCACAGAGTCCCACACCCGAATGGTGGAGACATGTCTGAACATATTCTCGAGTGATGGTGCTGCAAGTTTGTTTCACATGTGTTAACAGCACATTGTAAAGGTGAAGGGCAGCTGAAAATGGATAAGGGAACAGAAGTGTTGTTCTGCTTCAAATTTGAAAAATCAGCAAGACACCCATGAAATAGACAATAGTTTATGAAGAAGGTGCTGCAACACTGAAGTCTCTGGCCTCAGGTTACCTGCATCCAGAGAATTTGCTGCGTGCAAATAAGGCTCAATTAAGTACCCCAGTCTAGTGTGTACCTTCCAGGGGACCCAAAAACATGATAATGTTAAAAGCGGATACCAAAGTTTTTACATTGAGGGCAAGCGCGCTGAATCACAATCTAGGCGCACTTCCGTGACATCCTTGTTTCAGACAATACAATTGTCGATATCAGTGAGCATAGACACAATAAGCAGGTGGTGCTCCAACTGCTTCACGAGGGCTAAGGCTGGACAACGCTTAGTCCAGATGCTAAGCGACAAATGGGGACAATACAGAGACAGGAGGGAATAATTTCTCAGAGGAACACGCGGTTTGATTGGTGATTCCAGGCGCATCAACTTCTGTCATTAGTCCCATATGTGTAGTTTAAACTAGTAAGCGTATCATTAGTCCCGTATGTGTTTTCCTTGAGGTTTTCGCTCGCTAGATATTAAGATTTGGTGCCGACCTACCGTTGGCTTACGAGGTTCCCCCAACCGGTATCTCCCACTAGAGAGGCACCACCCCAGTTAGGGCAAGGTCTAAGCTCCCCACCGGTCTCACGGTAACTACACTACCACAGATGTCATAACAACGTACTACCATAACCGTGCAGAAACAGGAAGTTACTCCCGTGGATAATGTAGTATTGGTAATTGCGCAAAGGGACACGGACAACTTAGAACATGAAGCCATGTTAAAAGAAGTCAAAGACAAAATTCAGGATAAGAAATGCAAAGTTAATAACATTAGGTATAATGCTAAGAACAAATTATTAGCGGTAGAAACGACAAACAAAAAGTGACGGAGAACATAAAATAGAGTGAGGTAACCTCTCAAAGTAGAAGAACGGCCGGCGTTCAAGTACAGGCCGAAAATCGTCGCACGTGGAATAGCCAAAAATGTGAATAAGGATAATGTGAATATGAATTTGTTATACTTGGAGAACTTTAAGGAAACTCCTTTAGAGAATAAAGTCAAAAGACGAAAGTTCTGTTTAAAATGATCAAGGGTGCAGAAAATAAGCCATTTAAAGGCTGGGTTTTAATGGGCATTGCGCGGAGAAGAACGATTTCGCAGCCACACCTACAAAATGTGTTAACTACGTAAGGTTTTGTCAGAAACACACAAGCCATACAGCTGTTCATGGAAAATGCCCTGAATTAGTTTGGGCAACAGATATAGAAATTTCGAAGACAGATCAAGAATTCCTGCAGATCATCTTAGGAAAGGACAAGGCTACAATGGCTACCCTTGAGGTATTAACTCTTTGGTTGTCCCTGGCATAATTTGTTTAATTGAGAAGCTGTAAACCAGCCACAGCAAATTAGCGGGCATTCACAAGTCACTCAAAATTATCCAAGCAAGAACTGGCGGTAGAAATTGAGCTGCAATGATAACCGACACTGCCATAAGAGTTCTTTAATTAGCGCAATTCACTATGGGAGACCTGGGAACCTGTGACGTGTGTCGTCAAGGGCAGGAACAGATTGTGTTTGTCTCGGGGGGAAAATATCACCCAGTGAAAACAGAAAGAGTAGGAGAAAAATTAAGAACCATACTGAGATCTCTAGACAGAGGTATGACATTTATTATCAGTGGGATACTGTTTCCAAATTCCTAGAGTGGCACAATGTCAATTTGGGCACTAGGGGTGAATACATTGAGAGATTTCTCATTCGCTAAGGTCTATACGTGATACGTGACTATTACACTCGCGAAATTAAAACTAATAGTGTTTAACTACACATACAAATGGTGCCATCAGAGCGGTGTATCTCAAAAGTCTATTGCTTTTTCTATCAGATTTTCCTTACCGCTTCTCCCAAATGCCCTATCATAACCTGCAACTCATCTTAGGAGGCGGTATGAAATTAGGTTCAACAGAGTTCCAAAATGCGCCAATTATTGAAAATAACTGAAAGTTATGTTGAAATCAAAGAGTTGATGTTAGAGTGTACACACTGATTATTGCACATCGTCATAGCGATCGATATATACTGCCTATGTGAAAGATGCTACCAGCTTCAAAAATAAGCCGAGGTCCGTACGCGCCACAAAAGTCCTCGCCCTTCCACCTGCGCGCCGCACCCTCCACGCCCCTTGGCCGCCGGCGCGTTCGCGGAATGGCGCCGTAGTCACTAACCCGCAAAATCACTTCCTCCCTCTTCCCCGAAGCAGCCTCGACAGCAAAATCTCCGCTTACGAGCGACTCCTCCGGACCGGTTCATTCTTCCTGAAAGTTCTTTACGCGACTATGCTGCCTTCGGCAGCTCTGCTGTTTTTGAGAAGCAGATTTTTATTCATTCTTCTAGATACTTCTCTGGAGTGACTACACTGCCATCGGCAGTTCTGGTGTCGTTGACAAGCTGACTTTCATTCATCGCTTCTTTATGTTTCCACACGAGTAACTACGCTGCCTTCGGCAATTCTGCGATCTTCGAGAAGCAAACAAACTTTCAATCATTACAATCTTCTTGATATCATCCTCGACGACGTACTGCTGCCTTCGGCAACTCTTCGAACTGCAAATTCCCACAATGTATTTATTGTCTTAGCCTCGTATTCTGACTCAACATAGACACGTGCGGCATTAGTTTCCCAGCCAACTGTTGGAAGCTGGCCACATGAGTAGCTGCCTTCCATTTGCAGCGGTTTGTGCACGTGTACCGTAGGTCATCAAAGTGGAGTCTGCCTCCGACCAATAGCCAACTACCATACCGTAGAACGTTCTAGACGTAGCGAAGGAAACCAATAGCGACATAGGGCGACACGCACGTGACCACAGAGCACTCTCACAGAGGAATCGGAGCACAGGGCAGAGTAGTGGAGGCTGTCTGAAATCTATTGAGAGAGGCTGTTTGACTTCCACTGAGCAAAGACGCATTTCTTTACAACTTCATCGAGCTCAATGCCTTCTTTAAAAATCGCAACTTGAAAGTTACAAAGTTTTCGCTCCACCAGATGTCACCCTCTCTGGAACCGGTGCATTGTCTGGAACTGTCATTATCTGGCAAGGTAACTACGTCAAACATACTTTATTCCGTTCTGCGGACGAAAGCCAATACGTCCGGAAAGTACTTGCCCCGGTGAGCAACTTGTCGCCGCCGGACCAACCTGTCACGGTGAGCAACGTGCATTCCGACGCGGGCAAGGTGACGTATGACGGCCTAACCCTGCGCAAAAACGCCATCATCGGTACGAGAGCGAGGGCCTTCCATCCAGTCACCGGCGCGAGCTGCGGACCGAGGACCGACCCGGTGTGACGCGAGCCCGGGCCCGCACTTCGGCTTACGACGCCACTTCACCACTCGTGGTATCACCTGGCGCGAGACTTGGGCGCGAAACCTACCCGACGGTGATGAGAAATTCTCTACAGCGAGGTAAGCCAAAATGTACCATAGTAGGTCCCTGTCCAGAATTAAAAGATTGTCACGCTAGTGGACAATGAGGGGGATTGCATACTTCCGAAGACATTAACTGTTCGTGTAATAGAATAGTTAATGTAATAGAATTTCTGCATGTGTTGGAAATTAATAACATAGGTATCATATCTCTCATTTTAAATATAATAAAAATAAATTATATGGTAACTGATATTTACAATGTTATATAGCTTAAAAATTCAACTCATTTGTATCTCAAAACTTTTCATTTGAAATTTTTACCACTATTTTTGTAATAAACTCCGAAAGTAAAATTTGAAGTATAAATGTCAACATTAAAACATTGCTTAGTTTCTTAACACTATTTATGTAATAAAATAAAAATAAGTAATATTCCTTACCCAAATACTCGAATTCTTCTTTTAATGCCATTCCATTGTGGGAACAACAGTTGCGACATATAAGGGCATATCTTTGATTAATTCCATCACCAACAAGATACTCAACAAGACGATCCATCACCGTGCGCTCTCGTGGAAGAATAGGACGGGTCAACCTCATGGGCGATGGAGACATTCCTGCTCCTGCAAACACATACTCATTAACAACTCATTCCTTTGTTTAACATATTATTTTTCAAGGTTAAAATAGAATGTTTTTAAGTAAAGAAATGTGAATGAACACAATATGCAGTGAGAAAAGAAAGTGTACTGGAGTGTTGGTGTCTCAATGAAATCTCATACTATGTTGCATGTTACACATTTGGCATGAAATTTGCATGTGAGAGGTGGTACAAGTAAATGATATCATTTCATGCAATTTTGCAAACGGAAACTAATGAAATTCAAAATCAGAATTTTCATGGTTAATATAAAAGGCACACCCCAGATTTTCTCCTGGAAGGAGAAGGGGGGGGGGATATCAAATGTATTTTTATTTTTTGACATATAGTTCATATTTACAAATAAACAGTTGATATATTGAATGACTTTTGTTAGTACAGAAAATTAGTAAAGGCATATTCTTTATACGTTCCATTGGGCGTAGAACTCCCTCCCCCTTGGTAGTGTCGTTGGTTAATGCCCTTTTCATTAAAGCTATTTAATATTTCATTAAAACTATGAATGTGCATTAATGCATTGTTACCCAAAAGTTAAGGTCAGGGGTTTTTATAGCAGAAACTGTGTGCAAAATATTATCATGAAATCAGTTGAAATTATTATCTCCCATCATCATATTACTTTTTTATATGATAAAATAATGCTATCATTACAATTATAATGAATCTTCTACTTATTCTCACACAGACTGATATTTTTGAAACAAAGGGGGTAGCGGAATAAGGCAGGCAAAAGGATCACCGGGGATAAAAATATTTGATGTTGCAAATCGTTTTTGAAGCACAATAAAAACAAAACAATTGCTGGATTTAAATCAATTAGTCCGGAATACTTTGGGAGGAAAATAAAACACCAGCATCTTATAACACATTAATTTTTTGAAAACCATCTTATGCCTACGAAAATTTTAATCATTTTTGTGATTTTCTATAGACCATAAGAATGTTTCAAGAATTTTTTCAGGCGTTTATATACTATTTTCATGCTTTGAAACAATAATTCTCTACAGTTCCCCCAAAATTTCCACTTTTTATCTTATAAGTTGCACCCAACAACTCAATGTAAATACAACAGCAATTTAATAGTTTCTTATTTTTTGAAAATTAGGTTTAGTTTGATTAGTTTTCATGGTTTTCTCAAGAAATCTCAAGAAAATTATGCAGTGAGACAATTTTGTTTCAGTAGTTCTCTTTTCAGTTTTAAAATTAAGAGACAATAATCCGCATATCAATATTAAGGGTACATTTTAATTTAGATCTACAATCATTGAAATTTCTCCCCAAAACTTTAACAGATATGGCATCACATGTCTAGGGATATAAGGAGACGACCTGAAATTAGTTTTCCATATCAAGCCACGTTATTGAAGAGAAGGATTATTCACAACACATAAATAAAAGTTTTCAGTAAATATGAAGAATGTGTAGATATTTCTGTTATCCAACAAATAGCAATAACAAACAAGAACTCAATTTATGTAATGTTGTGCAGATTATTCCACTTTCACAACTGAATCAAACAAAGCAAAACCAAAAAACTGAAGCAAGATAAACATGCATCCAGAATATATACATGCTGTTCTTTAGCTGAATTCGCATAATACAATTGTACAAAACTTAGAACATTCAAAACCGGAGGACTATTCAATATTTTAAATTAAGGGATGTTGAAAAAAGAAATGGATTACCCAAATAAACCCTAGGGCTTACAGCACAAGTATTCTAGATGTATACTAAATGATCATGGTGTATGGACCTTTCCTTTTTTCGATTTCACTATTTAATTTAATTATATAAATGTTTGCCAATTAAGATTTACTTGAGATTTCTGATACCTTGCACTGCATTAAAATGCAATAACTGAATTTTTATGTAAGAATAGGTTTGGCAAATCCTCTTTGCTGTTAATTAAAACTACAGTGTTTCTTTCTTTTGTAAAAAAAATCTAAGTTTCATTACTGGAAAATATGGAATGTGAAACAAAACACGGATGGCATGAAGATGATCCTTTTTTAAATGTTTTAATTCCCAACCCACCATTATTTTAATTGAATGATAACTGTTGATATTAATAGCATACATAATTATCAGAAAAACATAACAAACAAGAGTATGGCATCAGGCATGAAGAGAATTAATTTACAAATAAATATTTCATATTCCAGGAACAGTCAAGTTACAGCAATCTTCATATATATCTTTGTATGGAAATCTTATATACACATGCAAGATTCAGAAGCTACTTCTTTTGCCTGAATGAATTAAGATGAGTTTAAATATCTCACAGAGCGTCTTAAATATAAACAAAACTTGAAAGAGAAAGAATCTCTACTCATCAAAATGATGACACTTATTACCGACTTCTGCAGACATACTATAGTATAATTTGTGCCCTGAATGTCAGTGATACAAATTCACAATTATCACGATTAACTTTTGAAAAATCAAGAATATTATCAGAAAAAAGAAAATAAGAGGGGATAAAAAAGATATTGGGAAAAACGATACAAAAAAATAAATAAAATCAGGACAACAGAAGTATCAGAAACGTAATGAATTGACAAAGAACAAAGACCCAAAATAAACAAAAGTCATAAACAAGGAAATATTAGGAACAAATAAGTGTGACTAGAATAACTGGAAGACATGATGTGATAAGGTGAATGGACAGGCTAGAGTAAAATGCGATAAAACAATAAGGAGATTAACATTAGAAAATAAATGGTACACAAAAAGAAGGAAAATGAACAGCAGTAAGAGGCAAGTCAAATGCAAATGACAGGCAAAATAATGTATTTAGAATGCAAAATGCAATCATAAATTGAAAACTTGCATAACATAAGTAACAAGCAACTGAAACGGCAATAAAAACAAGCTCGCTGAGGCACACCACTCGCTATCATGCCCACTAACCCTTACGAGGCCCTTCCTCTGTGTCTTTCTCCCCACTATTATCAGCTACTTCAGCACCAGCAGAAGTGTCTTTGTCAGCTTCATTGCTATCATTATTATCATCAACATCCTCATCCTCAGAATCAACATCAGGCTTAACAGTGGCAGCAGTAGCAGAAGCGGCAGGAGAAGCAACAGCAGCAGGAGTAGCAGTACCCACAGGTGCTGCAATTGTACCTATAGAGTCTGCAGCTGCTCCAGGAACTGGGGAGACCACTGAAGTTGACTCACTTGTCATCATTTGTCCGGTAGGGAGGATCCCTGAAGATGACACACGGGGACTGCCCGGCGCTGAGCCAAGTGGCCTTGGAGGAGGCAAGCGGTCTGATGATGAAATTAATTGAGGTCCTACAGGTCGACGGCGTAGTTCTGTACCGGATGTTGCTGTCTGAGTACTTTGGACTACACTTCTTTGGCTCAGAGCAAGTTGGTTTGAAAATTTTCCTGGCTCCAATCCAGCTCGTGCAAGGACTGAACTGGTAGTAGCAGCCTGAAAACACATTGAATATAATTTCTATTTTAACCACTGAAAGGTCAAATATAACTAATGTAAATTATTTCATTGGGTCAATCTAGCTCAAAATTTCAATCCCATTTTTCCAATGCCTTGAAGTTCAAACTATTTCCTAAATACCTTGGCTAACCATTCCCAATTTCCAAAATATTAACCTGACATAATGAACAACCATGCGTGGTTATAGAATTTTCCCAGATTTCCTATATTTGCATTTCAACTATTACTGAATAATAATAAAATCAGAAAACTTTTAATTTCCATATGCCATATGATTACAATTCAGAAGAAGGATATTAAATACTTATTTACGAGAAGAAAAAAAATTTATCACCTCTTGGGACCACAATATCAAACCACCTTAATCCGCCCAATTCATAAATTTCTTTGGAGAAAAATGTAACATTAAATAAGCTTATCAAAAAATTACCGGAAATTCACAATATGAATAGATTCAAAATTTAAAAAATTCTAAAACTATTTTTAAAAACCTTAAAAAACACACACAAACATAAACAAAGAGTGTCTATACAAATGCTGAACAATACAAGAAGAAAAATTACAACAAGAGTGTATTCCATTACAAGTGTTAATTTTCTTCAGAACACAAAATTTTAGTTAATAAATTAACCCACAATCCCTCATTTTTTAACACAATTTACTTAAGAAATAGTAAGATAACTTTGCTGTAACAAATAACTTAGCATTTGGAACAAGTTTTTTTCTATACTAATAATTTAAGTCAAGACTTCCTTTCCTTTTACATTTTCAAGAATGCTTTTCAGTTTTCCGATTCTTCAGAAAAGATAAGTTATGAAATGAAACTGTAGATGCATAAAAGTCAATCATCTACAATGTCAAAGAATATTCCATTCAATCCACAATTTGGATCTAGATCTACATATCTGTAGTTTGGAGAGAATGAAAGCAGAGGATTGTGTATGTAAGAACAGAGAGTGAATAAATCAATGAAAAGAAAACAAAAGGAAAGAAACTTGAACTTTTTAACATTTAATTAGAAATTATAATCATTGAAGTTTTGCAGCCCAAAACACATTTCCATAATTCAGTGAAAGTACATTGAAAGATAATAATTGAATTCTAATTATTAGTTAAATGAAAAGGATCAGAACAGTGACAAGATAAGCTGATCATAAAGAGATATTTTAATTCATTCAAATATTTCAATGCACATGTGTTTGCGTGTGCAACAATATATTTAAACCTTTTTTCTTCAGTGCAAACACTGACATATTTGTGATGATATATATTTTAAGAAGGAAAGAAAAATTAAATGAGTGAAGGATCAAGACGGAAACAAGTGAAGTATCGAGAAGGAAACAAGTGAAGAGTAGAGAGAAAATGAGCAAAGAAACAAGAGAAGGATTGAGGGCACTAGCTTAGCATTGAAAAGAAAATGAGCAAAGAATTAAAAAGGAAACAAGTGAAAAATCTATGGGTCAAGTAGAGAATCAAGAGGAGAATCGAGAAGAGAATCAAGGATACTCAACATTCTGTCAACAACTGTCATTTAAGTAAAAAGACTGTATTGAAGGCAACTCTTCCACCCAACCATTTAATACAGGAAGTAACAGAATGGATGTAGGATTTTGCTGACAAAATAACATTTTTGTAACACATTCAATAAGTTGTGAAAGATTTGCTTGTGAATAAGTTTCACTTCCTTTCCAAAGTTAGATTACAGATTTTTGTGGCCCTAACTCTCCCAGTTTCGAAGTTCTAAGTAAGTCATTTAGTTATGAAGCAAATTACTGACTATAACATGAAATTGTCTAAAATCTGTACAATGGTCTTTGTACACTTCAATAAGCCTGTAGGAATTAACCAATATTTTAGGTTGCCAAATTCAAAAATTAAAAATGTTGATAACAGACCCTACATCATTATTTTCTGCAATGAAGCAACAAAATAAGCAAAGACTAGAAAGAAATGAACTTACACTTGGCTTGCGCAATTGTTCAGGAGCAAATTTTTCCAAGATTTGACGAGCAACTTTGTATGTTTCTTTGTCCATAACTTCTTCCAGTAGTTCCTTTTTCTGTTTCTTCATATCGCCAAGTTTCACTTGGTTTCTGGAAATTTTGCGTCTATACCACCAGGACACCAATCGCTTGACGAATACAATTCTAAACAAAGTTAAAATTTATAAAAGTAATATTACATAACCAATGATAATGTGAGCAGATATATTAATCTCGTACTATTCAGTTTTTTCAGAAAGTGGAAAATGTATTTAGAGTCATAATTCCCTCCGAGTAAACATAAATATGAACATTTTTAAATATTTTATTTCTTGTTAATTTAATGAAATTACAAAACTGATACTTTCCAAAATTCTTAACATTCTGGAATTCATAAGACAGAAAAGTGTTTTTTATCTTTCATTTTTCTTTTTCTTTCTTTCTCTCTTTTAAATTGCAACTAAAAATAACAGTTATATTTCTTACTGTCAATGTTATTCCAGTAAATCTGTGGACACAGAATAAACGTTTCTACGTCTTTTACTACACAAAATATATCAACTTACGAACTTTTACCTGATAACTGAAGATATATGAAGCCTATTTTATGGAAAATTATGCGACAACTTCAGTTTAAAAAAATTGTGCATGACCTTATTTCAAGATCTGCCTTTAATGTATAGATTTTATTAAGGGGAAAAAAGATCTTTCTAGTCAATAATGCAACAATAGTACAAACCAAAAAACATTTTAACTCCTGTAATTTTTGAAAAATCAGTGATTTAAAATGAAAAAGAGATGTACACCATTCCTTTTTATGCGTCCTCTACGCGAGGGCAAAATTTAACATGTAAACAAAAAATAAAATAAATAAATAAATAAATAAACAGACGTCTGAGAAAATTTTGAAGAGTTTGAGGCTTGATGTAAAGTACCTCCAATCGACTCTCGGTACCAAAAACGGATTCTGAGAATACGTATTAGAGGAAGTAATTTACAATATAAAAGAACAAAATTTATATAATTTTTCGTAATCAGTGCTCGGCAATAAAAGTGGTTTTTTTTTTTTTTTTTTTTTTTTTTTTTTTTTTTTTTTTTTTTTTTTTTTTTTTTTTTTTTGTCGTTAATTCGCGTTATGCAGCAGACGATTTCTTTCTCTTCTTTGGGACCCAAAAAACTATTATTCCTAAAGCACCATTCCCCCTCCTCCATTTTATAAAACACCTATCTTTTTAATTTATTTATTATTTCCTTCATAATTTCTTTATTTCTTTGCACCATTAAATGTAGTAACTACGGGGCATATTTTAATGAAATGCCATCTTTTTTCTGTTCACTATATAACAATGCCGTTTAGTATAGAAATTCATTTTATGCTAGGACGAAACAAAATGACCCGTTTTTGTATGTAATTTTTTGCATTTTTTGTCGATTTTGACTGATAAGTCATTTTTACTGCATTTTTCGCTGATTTTAGTTCGTTTTTGTGGTACAATATTTAAGAGGTGTAACAAATGTTCACCACAGAATTCCTGAGTAGCCTATTCTGTTTCTTCGCATGTATATTGTAATGTCAGCTGTTGTGAGAACTATGTAACCTAAGGTTCCTCGATGCCAGTATCAGTTCGGCAGATTTCGCAATAAATAAAGGCACATATTTTCTTTTAAAGAACAGTCTAAACCTAAAGTTTTGAAGCAGTGTTAACATGAACAAAAGGAAGACGCCACGATTACATCAGTAGCACATCCAACAGCTTGGGTTATTTATCTTTAGTTGTTTTCATCACATTTTTATGTAATTTTCCTTTGTTTTTAGGTCATTTTTAAAGTATTTGTAGAGCATTTTATTGATCATTTTTGACAATGTTTTAGGTCATCAAAATTCGCCCCTAGTTATAATTATAATGAAGAGCTTGAAAATGTTTCACGACATGTTTTTCTGATTTCGCTCTGAACCAGCTTGCATTAAATAATTATTATTAGGTTGCTGTTAATAAATCTATAAGTCAGTCATAACTTCCCTCCACATCTTCAATATCACAGTTTCGTTTATTAAGCATACAGGACAGAATCCCCAAAAGAGATGTTTTATTTGCTCGTTTAAGTCTCTGCTCACTCCATCTTACCTCAGATCATCCGCCCTGTGTAGCGTGAAAAGACTCCAGTTTGAGAGCAGATTACCTACCCGCCTAAACTCTTGAATGGGAAAAACACAGAAACAGGAAAGGTGCTACAGCTTATGACCTGACGTTTACCTCCTCTGCTGTTTTGAGGTGTCAGCCACGGTTGTCTTGAAAGGAGACAGACACGTGGTTGCTAAATTGCCAAAATAAGAGTAGATGCTCCCAGCCATGGGTTGCAAGTTAAACTGAAGTCCCGGTACTTTAACCTTATATTCAGATTAAGTGCTCTCTAAAATTTTCTTTTACAAGATAAAATTCTTATACTTACTATTTTAGAATGACTCTAAATCATGAGCAATCGGTATTTAATTTTTTTAAAGTATGTTGAACTTCCCAATTAAAAATCATGTGAATATTTTGCATGCAAAAACACGAAATATACTTTTTGTGGTGTATCACTTCTGAAATTTTCTGAAATATTATGTAATTTTTTGTTTGTTTTGTTTTCGTGGGGTTGAAAGTTCAGATTTTCAAGCAAAAAATAATTGAATAATTTGTTTTTATTATAGTGTATATCTTGTGCTAAAGACCAAAATATTGCTAATTTTAGGATTCCCCGGGAACTACACTGTGTGTATAAAGCTCTCTGTATGATAATGAATGTATCATTTCGGATCTCATTTCGTTAACGTTGAATCAGGCACTGGATGCTGGCTAAAGTAAGGTTATTCTATTTCAAGCTATATCCACCCATTTTTGATAATGTCAACATTAACCCGTTAATTAGGGGCAATTGTAACAAATATACAACGCTTATCAATGTCAAAATTATATAACTAGGGGGCAGATTTTTAAGACCTAAAACATTGCCAAAAATGCTCAATAAAATGCTCTTCAAATGTTTTAAAAATGCCCTAAAAACAAAGAAAAATTACTTAAAAAAATTGATCAAAATCACTTCAGATGAATAACTCAAGCTGTTGGGTATGTTCCTGTTATAATCGAGGCTTCTGTCATCAAAATTCGACCCCTAGTTATATTTTTATTAATCCTGCAAATTAAACAAATAAAGACAATTTTAATACAATCAATAAAAATATTAAAATAGAAACACACAGTAAATTAATAATTATTGAAGGGAATAAAAATAAAATATTTCCTTAAAATTACAATAAACTGACAGTTACAATAAATGCTTTAAGTGAATACCATTTGCCAAGACATGCGTTTAGTGTAGTGGCTGTAACACGTTGAAGAGTAACAAGGAGAGAATAAGTGCATTCTCTTTCCTCCGAATATAATTAGTCACATTTTTTCAGCCTGAAATCTGAAGGGTGCGGCCGAGGGGTCCCTAAAAGTGTTTTTTCACACGTTGCCAAATTGGCAAAACGGGAGGAGTGTTCCTAGATGTGGGTTGCAAGTTAAACAGAAGACTCAGTATAGTCTTGACAGCAGCCAACTGCCATCATAACTCTTAATTTACTACATATTCCACTCATGCCCACCTCCGGGTTTTGGTTCAGCACTAGTGGATCCTCCCCCACTCTCCCCAGTACGAATGAATGAGCTGGCAATTGTGCTCCCACTTTCTCACAAAATAAATGCAAAACACTGTAACCAGATAAAATTTGACATTACATTCCTATTTAGTGTTACAAAACACAGAACTCATACCAAATTTTAAGTTGAAATAATAGAAATTAAGAAAATTCTTTGAACACAAAACTGTCATTGTCGTAAGGAAATTCTACATTCGCTGGTAATGGATTACTGCATTCCATATTTTTAAGCAACTTAATTAAGATTATGGTGTGAAGTAAAACATTTCAACCAATGCCATTCATGATCAATGGTGTTACTCCCACCAGCCTGGCAAGTGCACTGACCTGGCGCACACAAAAGCAAATGTTTTTGTCAAACTTAACGCCCTTTAAAAGTCTTTTCTGAAAGCAATTTGTTTATTTCCATATAACCACTCGTGTAAAGCTCGAATTATGTATTTTATTAAGAGGACATGAAGATGTTTTCCAAATTTGTAATTTGACATCCCGGGGTCCTCATTATTTATTGCGTAATTTAAAGATGGGCAGACCCACAACTGAAGCGTCAGTGTCCTAATAGGAGGCATAGCAGAAGCGACTCCTTTTTGGTGATTTGGATCATATACGCAGATGTTTTGCAAGCTCTATCAAAAATAATTTAACAAGGAAAAGTGCATCTGAGCAGGCAGATGCAACTTAAAAAAAAACACGTTTGAGTTTGTATTCAAAGTTGTATTGCATTCAAAAATTTTGATTGCGACTAAACCCTTTGTCTCAAAATCTGATTTTGATATTTGCCAAGCACAGGATTTGATTAAAGCAGCTTGCAAGGATCTATACGATTTAAGACACTACTTTGACAAATCCAAATCCCATGAAATAGAGTGTACTGGGGAGTAAAAGTAGAGTTTTACAAGAATCGTGTAAAAAAAGAAACGGCATTTTGATTAATTGTACGAAGATCAGCGTTTATCTGACGAAAAAAAAAAAAAAAAAAAAAAAAAAAAAAAAAAAAAAAAAGTTTACTTCGCTTGTTTTTTTATTCGTCATGCCTTACGTCTGCTTACATTAATGTTTCTATCTATTCCGTTACGGTTGCAGAGCGATGTTTTTCAAACTTGAAAATTACCAAAATTATATGAGAAATTCAATTGGAAAGTAGAGACTGATGGACCTTAGCATATTGTCTGTGGAGAGTGAAGTGGCGAACCTGTGCAACGTTATTGATAATTTCGTCAAAACTAAAGTCCGCAGGACTCGATTCAGAATTTTGTGGTTTATAATTAATATGGCTTCTTCCATTCAGTTTTCAGCACACTTTCTTTTTATTTGGACAACATTTTTTTGACGGGGGTCCCCAATTTAGTTTTTGAACAGGGTCCTAGGGCTAGCTATGCCACTGCTCATAATAATGCTTCATATATCTAGTCTTCACAACCAATTAAAATATACTTAAAATATACATTACTAAAAATTGCCAAGTATTTGAAAAAATTCTATTTAAGAAACACACGAGGTTGCATGAGCAATTCATTGAATTTTTAAATGGCTACTTATTACATCAGGCTTTCTCATACATGTATTTTCTGAGAAAGCATGAGCTAACCCCCCCCCCCAAAAGAGCATTTTCAGCGTTCAAAAATTTAAATTTTACATAAAAATATTAATAAATATTTTTGTTTGTATGAATGTGTAATTACAAAGACATTCTCACCCATTTCAAAAGTTGAAATTTTTATGAAGTGTAGATAACAAAGAAATTAAAAAACACATTTGGGGGACTGAAATACTGCAAATCTGTTTTCCTTGGTCCCAAAAATATTCCATGCAACTGGTTCAATATGTCTTGGAGCATTTTTTTATAATTATTTCCCTACAGTATTCTGTAATCGCACTTGTGGTTTAGCTTATGTGTCAGCGTGTTCATTTTCCATGACGCGATCCCAGGTTTGATTCCAGGTAGGACAAAATTGTAGTGAGCATTCTTCCTGCAATGTCTCAGTGTATGTCGCCTCTGACGATGAGAAAACTCGCTTCTCAGGTTGAAAAGACCAGAGTATGACATGGGGTAGTTTTCGTGCTAACCAAATTAAAATTCTGTAGAATTTCAATACCTTGTACTTGTTGCCTGAAATCTTTGATATTTCACATTTTATTCAGTTTCCTTTATTTTATTCAAATTCATTGCTTGGAACACTCAAACACAAACAAACACACAATAATTCAGAATTGTTCTCTCCCTCAAATTCAAGAAAGTAAGCCTATGTTTAATTTAAGCATTCAATCAGAGCTATAATGTTAGTGAACAAGATCTGTGTTATATGTATAAAATATACTGGAAGAAAAGCATTAATTTTGTGTAGAGCAAGGAGGAATTGCGTAGTAGGAGAAAACCATCACACCTACAAGATTCGAATGGGACTGACAGGTCCACCTCAAATAGGAAAGGCCTGGTCTATGGCATCGTTAGGGCAGAGTATTCAGTAATACGCTATGATTAGTAATAACAATGTGGAAATTTGAATGTTAAATTTACATCTGATACTTACATCAAAGGGAAAAGCAGCAACGGAATCACATACTGAATCTGATCATACATGGATGCTGGGAAGAAAAAGAAATAGAACAAGGCTGCCATTAACACGTACAATCCCACACTAAATAGCACCAAACGACCCACAATGGCCTTATGTTGTCTCTCTGTTGTTTGTCCATATTCTTCTATAGATTTGATGTCCTGTTCAAAAGGAAAGAAGTTTACTCAACAGAATTGTTTAATAAAAGAAGCACAATAGAATTTCTGATTAAAATAAAAAAGTTAGGAAAACATAAAATCTGTTACACTTGGGATAATTTTCACTTCCATATCAACATTTGCATCTCAATCTGTACCACAAAAGCCCGGGCTTTATTTTTGAATTGAAAGAATTTTAGGTTTGCCACAACATGATTTTACGAACAATGAAACTTAAAAAAAAACAGCAATCTACTTTTCCAGAAGTTGCATTGACATTAGATCTTCTATAAGAAAGAATTTGACAATCATGAATCATAGTAGTTGAACCCTTCAAAAATTCTTAAAATATTATTATATATTCAAATTTGCTTTCTTAAATGCCTTTACAGCGAACTCCTTTCTCATCACCCTGCAAAGGGATGACAAAAGCACCTGCTGGTTTCAAAATCTTAATATTTCAATTAATTTCTCTGATTTACTTTGTTTGTAATAGATAATTGGTATATAAAGTTTGTTTTAGAAAACTTCCAAAAACCCTTGAGCATTTAGACACTTCAAGAAATGTGACTTATACAGCAAGTACAAATTAAAGAAATTCAAATCTCTTTACCGAACTATGTAATCAATATGCAATTACTGAGTACTAATATATATAAATAATGTAATTTGAAAATTAGTGACAATTCACACAAGACAAAAACAATTTAGGGATAAACCACTTCCATGGTATTGCAACTCAAAAATCTAGATGTGAAATATATAAATGGTTTTGCACCTTTTCTATCATTATTTTTATAATATAAAATAAGTTATACAATTATTCCTTTTATAATGTAAATGGTCCGTGAAAGAAGGCACTACTCACCTTTTCTAAGCCTTCTAGAATTTCCAAAGTACTTTTCTTCTTCTGGAAAAAAGAACTCCAAATTAATGACTTATATTACAATTATAATCTACCACAAGAATTTGAACAAGAATGCTTGTTTTTCTGATTTCAAATACTCTTCTCTGCTACAAGAACAGATCACATATACTAGCTTTCTCACCAAGTATGAACTTGTGAGACAGAGCTGACAGCTGCAGTTAAAAAACTCAATTATGTAACAGAAATAGATGTGTCGCTATTACAAAAGATACATCCTGGACATTAACATTTGCCACTAGAATTGAAATTATCTACATTTACAGCAATGTGATAAAGACTTGAAAAACTTGTCTTTCATCTAAACTGATGAATGCAAAATCTGCAAGCAGTGGATAGGGTAACTAAATTTGATTCCAAAACTACCTTTTTGGTAAAACATTTCTACTTTATTTAAGCTCCAATTTTTTTGAATGCATATAAGGGGAAACATTTCCAATACTATATTGTGTTAATTTAGGGAATTAGACATAGGGAATTACGTAATACTCAGAATGAGCTTTTTATATTGAAATAACAAAATTTGGAATTTATCAACCCATTCTGAGTATTACGTAATTCCCTATGTCT